TATGTAACTTGAGGGCTGGGATATAGCTCAGTGGCAAGGTGTCTGCCTTGCATTCGCAAAGCCCTGGGTCCAACCCCCAGTTCCAAAAAAAGAACCCCACCAAAAACAAATAAGATTTAAAAAAAAAAACCCAGATTATGAAACTTAAACAAGACAGAATAGAGGCAGCCACAGTGACACATGCTATAATCCCAGCTCCTTGGGAGGCTGAAACAGGAAGATCACAAATTCAAGGGCAGCCTGGGTAACTTAGTAAGACTCTGTCTCTAAATAAAAAAATATGAAGGGCTAAAGATGTAGCTCAGTGGTAGAACATCCCTCAGTTCAATCCCTAATACTGCAAAAAAAAAAAAAAAATCAATTATAGCCCCATTTCTTTTTTCTTACATGAGAATCACAAAGAAATTCTCCTGAGTTGAGTGTGTGATTCTGGCAAAATGCTTGCCCAGCATGTTCAAGGCCCTGGTTTCTATCCTTAGCACCACAAGGAAAAAGGAAAAGAAATTCTTACAACTCTGGACATGTTGTTCTCTGGGTGACTGAGCATGGTAATGACTGGGGAAAACCCCTGGGGTCTCTGAGGAAAAGGTGGACAAAAACCTCTGTAGCATCATTGAATTGAAACATGGTGCCTTTCTGCGAAACAAAGAAGAAATGCAAGTCCCCTCAGGCAAGATGAGGGATACACAGTCTGAGTAGAGATCATGTGGTAGGAAAATAGAACCTCAAAATGCAATTAAGAAATAAGCATGCCTATTGCCTGTCCCTGACACCTTGGAGGAAGTTGTTCAGAGACCTTAAGGAAGTCAAAACCAAAAAGATGATGTTTTAGGTAGCTCAGTGGTAGAAGGATTCTCTACCACTGAGCTACCTAAAGTGTAGCTGAAAAGGGAGTAATCTAGCTCAAGTTCTAGTGTGTCAAAAAGGAAGATGTTATGAGCCAACTTCCAACTTATAAAAGGATGATATTCTATAAGGTTTACAATCTTATTATTTCGAATTATTTATTCCCATAGAAGTATAGTTATAAATGGTGACTCAGCTCATAAAAAGCCTATTTTCCTTATAATGTCTCTGTGAACAGAGACTCCAGTACCTAGCCAGTGAGTTCTGAGGAAATGCAACACTCCAGGCTGGGACTTCTCAGGTCTAGATGCCCCGTTAATAAGCCCTCCCAGGGTCTGCCAGGTACTGGCTTAAGAGACCTTTCCAGCTTTAAGCATGTGGTGATGGCTTCTTTGTCTCAGAGGGAGGATCTAGGGGCCTAGATGAAGGCAGAGATGGATTCTAAGATGAGGCAGATCCCAGGGCTAGTTCTCAGCTGCAGGCCAGCTCCCTGATCATCTGCTTCCTCTTTGTCCTCCTTGAGACTGGCCACCCAACTTGCCTTCCTGCTGCAACTACCCTCATCTTACAACAGAAATTTGTTCCTGATTTGGGGATTGAACAGAGGGGCACTTAACCACTGAGACACATCCCTAGCCCATTTTTATATTTTTATTTAGAGACAGGGTCTCCCTGAGTTGCTTAAGGCCTCACTAAGTTGTTGAGGCTGGCTTTGAACTCATGTTCCTCCTCCCTTAACCTACCAAGGCACTGGGATGCAAGTGTGTGCCGCTGTGCCCAACTTTGGCTCTTAAAGAAAATGGGGTTAGCTGGGCACAATGGCTCGAGTCCCATCAGTTTAGAAGACTGAAACAGGAGGATCGCAAGTTCAAAGCCAGCCTCAGCAACTTAGTGAGACTCTAAACAACTCAGTGAGACCCTGTCTCTAAATAAAATACAAAATAAGGCTGGGGGTGTGGCTCAGTGATTGAGTGCCCCTGAATACAATCCCTTGTACCACCCCGCTCCCCCCCCCCAAAAAAAAAAAGAAAGAAAATAGAGTTAATGGATGGCCTCATAGTGCCTGGTTAATTAGAGGTACTCAGCAAATATATTTTATGAAGTAATTAGTCTCTCACCTTGTCTTAAAATAAGCCCATGATCTTTTTAAGGTATTTCTAGTTATTTCTGATATTAGCACCAGTGTAGAAGCCAGTGGGCTAAATAAAAGCAGGCAGAATCAAATGACTGAACCGGGAGTACAAAGCCTTAGGTCAGCTCCTATCACAGCACAGTTATCTCTAGGCTTTCTGGGCTGTGAGTAAAGTTAGGCCTTGCTCTTGGTCCCACCAGACTTCATTATCACATCCTTACTTCCTAAAAGAAAGGCACTAAACCTTTTTCTACCTCTCAGCCTCAGGGTTAGGGCCTTTTGGATTTTGAGTACTAAAAATGTAAAGTGGGGTTTGTCTTCATTTCAGATGAGCAGCCATGCTCCATATCTTGAGAACTGGTTTGTTTGCTTAATTTTTCTAGCTACCAAAACATTTTATTCTATTAACTCATAGGATGGGGGGAGAAGATACAGCATGTTGAGATAAAGTATCTTAAAGATCTTTATGAGGAAGTAGGATGAAGATAGAAATATAGAAAAAAACAAACCAGGCATAGTGGCATACACTGTAATCCTAATGATTCAGGAGACTAAGGCAGGAGGATCACAAGTTTGAGGCCAGTCTGGTAAAATTAGCAAGACCCTGTCTCAAAAAGGGCTAGTGATGTAGCTCAGATAGAGTGGTAGAGGTAGAGTGCTTGCATAGCATATGCTTGGCTCTGGATTGCATCCCCAGCACAGGGCCAGGGGTGGGGGTGGTCTTCTATTTAGGGTGATGCCTTTGCTCTTAGAATCAATGAACCAGATCATCTGTTTCTCACATCTCCCTAAAAGGCAAAGAAACTTCTATCAGTTGGTGCCCCTGTGCCTCGTTTGAGTGTCCTTTCAGATTCTCTTGCGGTGTGGAACTCCCCATTCAATTGGGTTTTCCCTTCTATTTCTTCCTAAAGTAATATCCACTGGGTGTCCTTTCTGATTATAAAAGCAGTACAAATTCATTGTGGAAATTGTGGACACTAAAGAAAAAAGTACCAGCCCTGAAGTACCAGTCTACTCACCTCCTCCTTGAGGGATAAGAGGGACCAGCCCTTCCAGTCTTCCATACCCTTCCTTCTGCTTTTTGTTATCACAGTGCCTTCCCCCTTTCCTTTTCTTTTTTTAAACACATGCTTTACCTGATGCCCCCTTTTTCTAATTTTGTTCCTAATTTCTGTTTTCGATATCTTGTTATCTCAAATTGTATACTATAGCAGAAAGGGTATAAGAGGAATGTGATCTATATAAAAGGAGATTAAGGCTATATTTTGTGATGTCCAAAAAGTAGAAATGCACACATACATGCATATGCTTGTTCCTACTTGATTTTGGATGTGTATTGATTGTATATTGTGTCACTGTCCCTTGCTAATCAATATGGATGCTATTCTACTGCACAACACAGCCTTTTCACATATAATGTTGGTTCTAGGAAGCAACAGAAGTGGTTTATTGACATTTTATTTAAGGGATTTATCCAGGTATTCTGAACCTCAACACAGACTCTACACTTTGAAACCAAGAAATTTGAATATAAGTCTGCTCTAAGGCAAACAAAGTTTTTTAAGAACAAAATCCTCCTCCCATGTGACCAGGTATCAGCTGGTCATGGTCTGATCTATTGAGAACACTGAATGTAATCAGCATTTCACACACCTGCTTTCTGTATCTGGCTTTCGTATTAAAGTTGTACCCGGTATCAAATTGACCGTACAAAGCACTGTGCAGAATGGCGAAGGTCTGAGAAGAAAAAAAAAAAAAAAGTGATCCCTGCATTTATTCCATTGCAAAGTAGAATGGTTTGTCTGTTTGGCCCTCCTGTTGACCTAAACTCCCTTCTCATTATAAGCCACCTATGCAGCCCTTCCCCTTCGAACCCCACCAAAGCCTGTCCTTGGACTTCACCGTCCCCTGTGTGTGCTGCTGTGGTTCTGTGATGGTCCCTTGCTCAGCTCCTCTCCCTCTTCCTTGAGTGACCATCAGGTCTCCCCTACAACTGGTCTGGAGATGTCTCTCTGCACACTGTCTCCTCTCAGTTGCCCCACTCTTACCAACATCATTAGTGTGAGTTGTTGGCCTGTCCTGTCAGCACACCCCTCTTGATCCTAAATGCAACAGCATCCCCCAGCTGTGACACTGAACCCCCTCCAAGAAATGGAAAGGCCAGAAGAAAAGGTGGGGTGGCTTGCTCTCCCTGGCATGTGGAAGGGATAGTGATACAAACCAATGGAAGTCACTTCTGTGTGTCCACATTTTCCCAAAATTGTCCTGGCTCAGAATTTGAATGCTGCAGGTGCCAGAGCTCTGCAGGCCCACCAACAGTTAGGGTGCTGTCTCCATAGACTCAGGTTCTTTCTATAGACACAGCACCAGAAGGTAGCAGACCCCTCATTGCCCCTTAAGACTTATCTAAGGTTAATTTAATTTTGAGCACATCTTAGAATATTTCACTTAGGTTTGGTTGGCACCACTTTCCTACCTAGAAACAATATTACCCCCATATTCAAGACAGTGTTTTACAGAAGTAGGCAGACATACCCAGGGGCTTTGGGCATTTTTGAGGAGGGAGCTCAACACCCAAGACCATGAAGGCCACCTAAATTTCACATGCTACCAGTAAGGAATAGAAGAGGAAGGCGCAGCCCACTTGGTTGTGAGCTGCTGCTGCATGAAAGAAGTACTTGCATCTTTAGGAGGACCCCACCATCCCTCCCTCAAGTCACACCCATATCAGTGACTGTTCCTGATGCCTGAGCCCGCTCTTGTTCAGTTTCTGTGCTGAAAAAAGGACTTAATTCATTTGTAGACTTTGTTTCCCCTGTTTCTGCTTCTCCATTTCTTGTATTTTTTCTTTTCCTCCTGTTGTTCCTTTCTCACTTTTTATGCTTTTTGTCCTCTGCTTGTTTTTTATTTCACCCTCACCCTGTCCCTTTCCACTTCCAAATTCCTCCTCCTCTTTTCCTCTTCCTTTTTTGTCTTTCTCCGTTTCCTCCTCCTCCTCTTCCTTGTTTGGTCCTTTTTGAAGTTGAGCCCAGTGGCGGGACTCCACGGCGTAGACCTCTCTCCTTCTGCCCTTGCTGTGTCCAGGAAGGTAACGTAACCTCACCCGCCTCATCCCACTGCCTCGGAGGGTCAGAGCCACATTAGTTCCACAGGGAGCCACAGCCCAACTATTTCTCTTTCTCTCTGATATGTGACAGTCCTATTTTAGAATGTCATGAATATGTGGCAGTTTCTTACAAGGCACAGTATCCCTTTGACTATCTGAGGGGAGGACCCGGGTACAGAGGGAAGCTGGAGAGCCTCCAGGCCTGGCGACTGAAGTCTACAGACTTCCTACAGCCTGCAGACCTTCTGCAGCATTTCCCCCCATCCCCCATAACCATTTGTACTTGGGCCTTTAAGCCTCAGGTCCACCAGATGGATTTGTATTGATGGAGTCAAGGAATACTGTCCTTACAAAGACTGATCTACACAAATGCCCCCAAGTTCTTTAGCAAAACAAACACTAAAGCAAACTTCTCTACTTTGTGTCTTGCTGAGTGTGTTTTGTTTTGTTTTTTGGTGTTTATTTTTTGGTCTGACTGAAGTCTGTTGTGGTGATAAGATTGTCATTGACAAGGCATGTGGGCAGGGGAAGGGGGAGTATGGCCATGACTAACCCTTGCTAATCTCTTACTCTGCTCTCCATGGCTCTCACATGTGATCTTCACCCTCCCCACCACATCCCCTTACTCATCGGCTGTGAACAAGCTCCACCATGGCTCATGAGCAGTGTTCAGATGTACCCTGGTGGAAATTTTGTCTTTATACATGGGAAGGTGGGAAGGAGGGAGAGACTTCCCGGTGTGCCCTCAGCTTGCCACACTGGACAAGCTTGCATGTCTCAGGGCTCCATCTTCATGGCCATGTGGGCACACTGTGCAGAGACGCTCCGGAAGGAATGCATGGAACTGAGCTGTAGGCTGGTTTAAAAGCCAAAGACCCAAGTCTATTGGATCGGGTGAGGAGAGCTCAGGCCCCCAGACACACATGCGGCACTGCACAGTCATAGGCTCCACAGGCCAGGGGTTGTGGAATGGGGAGCTTCCATCCTTGAGAGTAGAACTCAGAGACAGCATGCCACCTCAGGACAAAGTTGTATGTTCACTGGGGCACAATGCAGACACTAACTCCTGCTTGTGTGAACGCAGTGCATCTCTGCCTCTCTAGAGTGGGGCCACTGGCTGACTGACTTAGGCCTTATGTGGGTCAAGAAGACAACATCACAAGAGCTTTGTCTTTGATTAGTGTGCAAGAATGCCAGATGGTAGAATACGGGCAAGAATGAGTAWAGAGCCACCCACCTGAGGATGTACATAGTACATACTCCTGGGCTATAACACTAATCACTGTGCTGGGACATCCAACCAAGCAACTCAGAAAATAGAGAGTACTTTGAGAGATTTCCCAGTTCAGTGCCTCTTAACCTGAGACCTACAGATGTACTTCAGAAAGCCCCTGAGTACCCTGAAATTCTGTCTAAAATTGTTTGATGCTGTAATGGGAGTGTAGAGTGCACTACTTAGTGGTAGAGCACTTCCCTAGCATGCTTAAGTTCCTGGGTTTCATCCCAAGTACCACAAAATAATAATGTGTATATATATATATATATATATATAGAGAGAGAGAGAGAGAGAGAGAGAGAGAGGCATTTTTCTAGCAAAAGTCCTTAGCTTTCATGAGATGCTTTAAATGGTTTGTAACCCCAAAATATTAAAGAGCCACTGACATAGTCTGTCTCTTAGGCAGGACCAAACTTTGGCCATGAGCAGATTTATGCTCCAAGGAAAGGAGTTTGTTTCCTCCTTGGATGGTGTGATTCCTTGGAAGGTTCTTCCTCTATCCTCCTGCTGCAGTTAAGCCCAGAGGGTTGTGTTGCTCCTTATGGAGACTACTCCTGTGCTGGTTCAGGTTGGCCTGAGTCAGCAGTCAGGTACCAGGCCCAAAAACTGGTGGTGGGACTGGATCAGAACAGGGGGTGGCCACCTTCCTCAGTCTCTAGGGTGTTCGGGTCTGCTGGTGGTCTGCTGACAGCTATCCTGGATGCCCTGTGTCTACCACACAGTCCCTGCTAGAGTGTTTGTCCAGCCACATGTTAAGAAACGGTTTCTTGCCAGGCATAATGGCACATGCCTATAATCCCAGCATCTGGGGAGGTTGAGGCAGGAGAATCACAAGCCAGCCTCAGTGATTTAGTGAGGCCTTGAGCAACTTAGCAAGACCCCATCTCAAAATAAAAAGGGCTGGGGATGTAGCTCAGTGATTAAACACCCCTGGTTCAATCCCTGTTACCAAAACAAAAAAGAAGAAGAAAGGGTTTCTTTCTGATTAGGATACAAAGCAATTATGAGGCCTCAATATTAGTGGCCCCAGAGAAGAGCAGCAGCCTAGGAAAGAACTGGGTTAAATGAGGGTGAAAGAGTAAAGTGTAGTTTATAAATTTAAATTTGCCATTTTTATTAGACTGGTTTTCTCCTCCAAGGAGACCCAGAACATAGCAAGTGCCAAATAAATATTAAATGAATTTAAAAAATTAAGAAGGAAGAACAAAGCAATTTAAGACATACAAAAGAAAGCTTCTAAGCAGAAAAAGTATCAACAAGCCTATGAGGAGGGAACAGTCACAACCAGCCAGGATTACTGGCAGGGATGAGGGCAGGGCCTGGACTGAACAGAACAGACAAAAAGCATAGGCTCCATTAGGCCCTGGGGTCTGCACAATGCAGGGGCCTATCATTATCTGCCCCCCACCCCCCACCCTGAAGGCTGTAGGCAAACTTTGGACCTGGCTTGGGAGTGTTCCGGCAGCATCTTGCTCGGCTCTCTTTGCACATTTGCCCCAGTGTGATGATTCCTGTGGGCCAGGGGAAACCAAGATACCCTCCCTTGCTGCCTGACACACAGTCTTTTTCGGCAGGCATGGGCAAGAAGGATGACCCTAAGCTGATGCAAGAGTGGTTCAAACTGGTGCAAGAAAAAAATGCCATGGTGCGCTATGAGTCGGAGCTGATGATTTTGTGAGTAGTCTGAGATTTGGGGGCCTATCCATGAGGGAACATAGGCACTGGGTCTGTCATAGATACACCAATCCTAACTTGGTGGGGTGAGTAGTTGCCCCTCAAGTCATTGTCTCTGTCTCCTTCCCCATCTTAGTGCCCGAGAGTTAGAGCTGGAAGATCGGCAGAGCCGACTACAGCAGGAACTGCGGGAGCGGATGGCAGTGGAAGGTAAGTGGGTGAGGGAAGGTGCACAGGGAAAGGCTGGTATGGGCTTCCACCTCCCGAGCCACACACCTTGTGACTTTGGCTACTCCTCAGATCACCTGAAGACCGAGGAGGAGTTGTCAGAAGAGAAGAAGATCCTGAACGAGATGTTGGAAGTTGTAGAGCAGAGAGACTCTCTAGTGGCCCTGCTGGAAGAGCAGCGGCTCCGGGAAAAAGAGGAGGACAAGGACCTGGAGGCGGCCATGCTGTCAAAGGGTTTCAGCCTGAACTGGTCCTGAGTTTGTGCCCATTACACTGCTTGGAATGTCAGCATCCACCTGGCTATGTTCTCCCAAACCACCTGGATCTAAGGTCCAAGGAAGCCTGGCACTTCCTGGGAGTTTGCATTCAGCCACCCACATGCTCATGTGCTATGGTGAAACCCCAGGTGATGATGATTATCTGAGATGACTCCGCCTCCTGAGAAGAGGCCCACCTGGACTTCCCACTTAAGAAAGAGGAGCAGAGCAAGAGATGTATGGTGCAGTGGGGAACCCCGCACGGTCCCTGAGGACCTGTTGCCTGGTGCCCCTTCCTTCCGCCAGCATGTTTGGTAAGAGAAGGGAGCTGCTCCTTCTCTTCAAAGACACCGCCACTACAGAGAGCACCCCGCAGAACAGGGAAGCTGCCTTCTTCATGCTCCCTGAAGCACCACCAAAGAAAGAAAAAAAACACCCCACAAGCAAGATGTGGATAGAGTATGGGAGAGGGGCAATGACCGGTCAGGGCAGTGACCACCCCAGCATTGCAGGGGAAGCTGAGGGATAGGCAGGCTCTGAGTTCATTATGCAAATTATGAGGATGCAAGAGGGGTCTGTCCCCAGCCCCCACACAACACACTGGACTCCGAGTGGCCAAATGCCCCAGGCCTCTCTCTGGCTGAGGCCCGAAGCCCATGGATTGCTGCATTTTGCTTTTAGTTCACAACCATTTTGACACTGGAAAGTACTAACTTTGGGGACAGGGGGACCCTACACATCAAGCCCCCCATTGACAGACAGGCATTGTCACAATTCAGCGCTTCACAGTGGGGCAAGAGATTCCCTTCTTCCTTGGTGTTTTTTCCTGTGTTTGCACATTGAAATGAAGCTKAGGACCTGGCAAGATGCTCAGCCACTTCCGATCTTTTTTGTCAATTAACTTATTTTTTTAATACTTGAAAAGAAGCAACTTCATTTTTATATCTTTACTAGAGACACTGATCACCTGGCACCTATGTGTAGGGATAACAGAGGTCTGCTAAGTCCTACACAGCCTGATTCAAAACTGACTGAACGCTTGTTATATGCATCTATTTATTAGCCTTCTTCGTAGTGTTACTGATCTGGTTGGCATCAGGGAGCAGCTTGAGACCCTCTGGGTCCTTGCTCACAGCTTTTCTGTCCCCCTGTAACTGTGTCCAGCCCTCTCCTCCTCCACCGGCACCCTGCTCTTGCTGTGGCACTGGACTTTAACATCAGAACCATTAATTTGTCAAGGATACATTTCAGCACTGTCAGCAGCCATGCTGAAAGGCAAAGATGTCTCTCACTGTTGGAATGTTGGCTCTGTAGGACCCATTGTTTTCTCAACCTTGGTACCAGGGTTTACGGCCCTCCACGCATATGTTAAAGAAGATTTGGGGATAAGCCCTCTTCTAGCTGGCTGAGAGGGTGTGAGTGGCTCCTGTGATCTGTCTGGCTGATAGGAATTCCCTCAGCCTAGCTGAAGGTCCAGCCAGACAGGAAAACATGTGCTGCTGCCAGTATCAACATTTAGGCTGGTCTCTCACAGACAGGCAACTGCAGCCCTGTCTTCCCTCCCCTGAATTAGAATCTTCTTGAGGTGGTAAGGGCTAATAAGTACCATGTAACTAGCTCTACAAGTCAAACTGTTCATTTTTCATGGTTCAACCAGAGAACGGGTGTATACAGTTCATCAAGCCACTGACTAAGAAGGTCAAGGGCTGGGGAGTGCTTGCCTATCAAAAGAATTAGCACATGGTCATCCTAGGGATGATTCCATCAGTGCCAGGCCAGTCTCTGATTCCTTGTGGGAAGGGCCGGTGTAGAATGAATAGGCCTGGCAATTCTTCAGATGTCCGTGGGGCAGGACAGGCCAAGGGTCCATACTGACCTTGGACTTCCCATGGGAACCACACTGTGCCTCAACTCGAACATTCATTCTAACTACAATGGAACAAAGAATCTGTCCTATTCTTCAGTTTCTCTAAAAGCTGCCATCTTTCTCCTGTGGAAATCCAGATGTGCTGCTAGCAACCATCACAACTCTGACTTCTTCACTTCCTGGTTTCTAGTGAGGCAACATCTCCATTTTTATTCTCTGTTCCTAAAAGTGGGGAGGAGGGTGTTCTAGATTCCATCTTCACACCCCAATCTTCCAGTAAAATTGGACTTGGGACAGGACTGTCATTGCCTTTGTGGCCTTTTACTAACCCTCTCTCTTGAATGCCACCACAACAGTCAAGCCCCAGCAGAGCTGCCTCTGTCCCTGTCACTCCTGCTAAGCCCAGAAGTAGGAATTGGTTTCCAAAGTGACTCAAAAGGGATGTGGCAGTAGAGCTGTGCTTCAAATTGCCTCGTGCAGCAGGAACACCAGGTTCTCTTTTGCCTCTTGCTGCTGCCCAGTCCCAGCCAACTTTGGCATCACTTCATCCTTCAAAGCACATGCTGCTCCTATTGTCACTCAAAAGGGGGCTAAAGATGGCAGAGAAGCCTCAACCAGCCTGTAAGATGCCCCCCAGTTTTCTATTCCTGACAGTGTTAAGGCTTCAGGTTCTCATAGAGCACTTTAAAAAATAAAAATTTAAAAATTTTTTAAAAAGCTCCCAGTTTGTAACCACTAGTTTGCAGTTGATTTTAGTGATCTGGTGACTTGCTACATGAAATGTTTTCCACTCTGGAAATGCATGCAGCTCCAAGCAGATTTTCTTCCCAAGAATTAAGTCTTCCCTTGAAGGCAGGGAAGCAGGGTATATATACATGCAGACACACACAAAATGTCGGAGTTTATTTGAATAAACCTATACAAGTTTATGTATAGTTGGGGATCCATGTTCAGCATCCCTGGTGGGCAGAAGACGGCCCCTAACTCCCAAGTTTGAGGCTGGCCAGCAGCTGTGTGTGGGATTCCAACCCCGTTAATGTCTTTGGACCTTTGCCCCCAGCAGCCACTCTAAAACTGATTTTGACCAGCAATGATAGACTATTCTTAACACTTTCAAAAGAGAAGAATTTTTTCAATGGAACAGAAAGGAGGAAAGAGTTAAAACAAATTTACAAGTTGAGGGTGTAGCTCAGTGGTAGAGTATGTGCTTAGCATGCACAAGGCCCTGGGTTCCATTCCCAGCACTGCCAAGAAAAAAAAAAAGTTAAAAGGTGGTAATATCTGACCCACAAAGGGAAATGGACTGTTTTATGCGCAATAAAAGTTTTTAAAATAAAGTGTATTTCTTGAGTCATTTTAGTATACTTGGCAATGAGCCAGGATACATTTTCATATCACTACCTGCCTTTCTAGATAGGTGATATGTGTGTGAATCTTATATCTTATATCTAGTGTATATATGGGTGTGTATAGGGTTATTTAATGAATACAACTTCTTTAGCCTGGTGCRGTGGCACACAACCTATAATCCCAGCAACTTGGGAGACTGAGGCAGGAGGATCACAAGTTTAAAGCTAGCCTCTGCAATTTAGCGAGACTCTAAGCAATTCAGTGAGACCCTGTCTCAAAATAAAAAATAGAGGGGCTGGGATTGTAGCTCAGTGGTAGAGCGTTTGTTTAGCACGTGCGAGGCCCTGGGTTCCATCCTCAGCACCACATTAAAAACAAATAAATAAAATAAAGATATTGTGTCTAGTTAAAATAAATAAATAAAGATCAATAAAAAAATAAAAAGGGCTGGGGATGTAGCTCAGTGGTAAAGCACCTGGGGGTTCAATCCCCAGTACCACATACACAAACACACACAMAAAAAAATGTGTGTGTGTGTGCTTTTCTTTGTTCTTCATATTCTGCTTCAGGCTGTCACTTGAGACACTATCTGAGGCAAACACCCACATTAGGTAAAAATCTGCCCTTTATAACTGAGCCTCAGTAGCATCTTGTAGGAAAGCATATTCTTTGAAATAGAGATTCTCAAAGTCTAAGCAATCCTAGGTTCCTGGCAGCCTTCCTTCCAGCTGGCCAGGGAGCCCAGGGGCTTGAGATTTGCAGTCTTCAGGCACAAATCATTCACATGTTTCAATATCCCCAAGTTCATTCAGTGCATAAAGCCCCAGAGGGGGTTGACATCACCTTTTGGCCTGGAATCATCCACAAGAGAACAAAAGGAAGAGTGCAAAGCAGCTCTTTTCCCTCTGTTCTCTGAGAGTCCTCCAAGGCACCTTTCAGTGCCATTGACCCCATCTGTGGTCTATTGATCTGTCAGTGAAGAGTAGTATCTCTGAGTTCATGATCATGGCTCCTTTTTAAGAAGTAAGGAAGCAGCAGAAAGGGGCAGACCAGCAACAGGAACATGAAACTGAATCTTGCAGACCTGGAACCAGTTTGAGTCAGTCACTGCAATGGAAGCTGCAGCCAGAGCATTTCAGCTACTCCAGAAGGAAAAGGGGCCTGGCCAGGACAATGGTGGGCATGGTAGGTAGGAAAGAGTAGGACAAAATCTTTTTGTTGTTATTTTCTGGCATTGTTTTTGTTGTCGTTTTCAGCATTGGAAATTGAACCCAAGAGCATTCTTCCACTAAGCTACATCCCCAGCTCTATTTTTTTGGGGGGTGGGAGGGTGGGGTACTAGGAATTGAGCCCAGGGTTGCTTAGCCTAATGAGCCACATTCCCCAGCATCCCCAACCCCGTTTTTTGTTTTGTTTTGTTTTTTTCTAGTTGTAGATGGTCACAATACCTTTATTTATTATTTGTTTGTTTTTATGTGGTGCCCAGGATCAAACCAAGTGCCTTAAGCATACTAGGCAAGCGCTCTAACACTGAGCCACAACCCCAGCCCCTCCCCAGCCTTTTTTAATGTTTTTATTTGAAACAGGGTCTCACTAAGTCCTTAGGGCCTCACCAAGTTGCTGAGGTTGGTCTTAAGTTTGTAATCATCCTGTCTCAGTCTCCAGAGTCACTGGGATTACAGGCGTGTTTTTTGATTTTGAAATAGTCTCACTCAGTTGCCCAAGCTGGCCTCAAATTTGCAATCATCCTGCCTCAGCCTCCTGGGTAGCTGAGAGTACAGGTGGATACCACTGTGCCCAGTGGATAAAATCTTATAACCGGCTCAAGTAGGAATATATGATGGCCTTCGACTCCTGATAGGAAAGATGATCATGGCCCAAGTAGAGTTGATGGCACCGGGTCCCTGTCACCTTTTGTTTCCAGAGGGGTTCTCTGGACCACAGCACCCAAAAGCAGGATTTAAGGACAATTGATGGCATCACCTGATGGCAGGAAATGGCGATTCTGTTTAAGGTAGGCCACTTTGGGCAACCTCAGAAGTCCCCCCCCACAAACTGCCAGAACTGATAGTTCCAGAACCTCTCCTGAACCCCGAATCTTCTCAGAGTCCCTTCCTAGGAATCACATTCAAAAGTGGAAAAGAGAGAATGTGCCATCTCATTTCACTTCATAAGCTGGCCAGACTGGCCCTCTTAAGAATATCCTCTTTTGTGTCACCCACTCAGATCATCCTTCCTGGTAATATCAAGTGAAGACTAAGAAACCAACCTCCATGGCCTGCTAAGCCAGGGAGCCAGTTAGACCAGGGCCTAGAGCCACATCGCTCTTCCGTTAAGGCTCCCAGACAGCGTCACACAGCTAAGCTTCATCAGGTAGTGATTTGGGGGCAGCTCCTCCTTTTATTTCCTACTCTAAGGTCTGTTTACAGTGGGGCTCAAACAGGAATTGGAATTTCAACTATTGTAGGTAAGTTACATGTGTCACTTGCTCTGCCCAACAAGCCACCTGCTACCCAGACCAGTGTGAGAAGGAGACTGTCTCCATGATGTGTGTGTGCTTTTCAGGCCCTCATAGGATTTCTGAATCAAAATGGACAGCTGATTCTGAAGTGTGGATTTCAACCTTTGGTTTCAACCAAGGGTGGGCCAGCTACGGAGGTGGCCCAGGCCTCAAAACTAGGCAGTATCTGAATTGAGGATCTCCCTGCAACAGTAAATAATGGGCCTGACAAAACTACAGGTTGCTTTGAATGGTCTCCATAGCGGGCAGTTATGGTATACTCCAAACCTAGAGGGAAGGTCCTTTATAAGTGGTGTGGAGCTGCCAAGTTCAGCTGCTGTGAAATGAGAACAAGGTTGTTGGTGTCCTTGCCCAGCCAAGAGAGAGTAGTAGGGAGTGTGCATCAGTGAATGCGGGGTTAACATTCATGTGTAACCCTCACCCTGCTGCTTCTCCTGATTTCATCCTTAGGCACATCACTTTAAACTAGTCAATGCCTCACTTTCTCTCTAAGGTGGGACTGTACCAATCTGCAGGATCCATGGGAGGACAATAGCTCAAAGGGTTTGAGTCAAGCCTGTGTAGATGCACATAGCTCTCTCATACTGGTCACTGGTGTGCATCTTGGAGAAGGGGTCATGAACCTCCAGGTAAACTGAGCGTTGACCAGATAGTCCCAAGGTCATTTCCTAGCTATCTTGTTAGCCAACATAATTATGCACTTATTTTTAATTTTAAGTGTTAGACTAAATCCTCTGGTTGTTCTCACACACTCATCAGGTACAGGTTAATATAAGTAAGCCGTATGCTTCCAGAACATTTATATTGGCCTCCACCCTCCCTGACCCTGAAGCCAGTTCCATCAGATCTGCTGTCCCAGCAAAACAGCTCCAGAACATGCCATGGGGACGTCCTCCACAAAGCCATTGTCAAGGATAAGAGATTTTCCAGATAAAGGTTAGAGTGTGAGGATGCTGAGCAGGAGCCAAAGGAATGAGGGTCTCCTATACACAGGTGATTGGCCCAGCAGGCAATGAAAGAAGCAGGAGAGAGCCCTTTTAAACACAGAAGGTGTGGCTCCCAGCCTGTCTTCAGGTCTCTCTCCAACAGTCCAGATGCCATGTCTCTCTCCTTGGGAAAAAATAAAAAGGATGCAGTAGCAGCTGACAACCAATATCTTCCTCCCAGCTGCATTTCATTTTATTTAACTATTTTTTAAAATATTTTTGAAAAATAAAATATTTTTTACAAATGTTACCAGGGCCAGATCACTGAATGCCAGCTTCATATTGTGATTGAAAACATTTCTGGCACCAGTAATGAAGGTTTCCAGCTTTCGACAAGTTGTTCTTATCCTGCGCCGGGGGGTGAAGCTCAGTGGTAGAGCACTTGCCTAGCAGGCGTGAGGCCCTGGGTTCCATCCCCAGCATCAGAAGAAAATAAAAGAAATTGTCCTTAACCCAACCCATGAAAATCTGGGGGAAAAGGAAGGTCAGGTCAAGGAGTGTGGGCCTAAGACCCCCACTTCCTGGGCTGACTGCCAACACAATGTTGGACAGTCATGGGCTTGAGCCCTCACTCCATGAGTTACTGGGAACAACCAGCTGACGAGTTGCCCCCATTTCTCCCTCATTTTTGGTCCTGAAGCCCTGTCCTTGGGCTGTGACAGCACTTGGTCATTCAACCACCTCAGCAAGCAGGTAAGAGTCAGCAGAACCTCAGTTCCTGAGTAGTGGCTGCCCCAAGTGTTTCCTCCCAGCTACCCAACAGGGCCTTAGCCTTGTCCCTGGGAGGCAGCCTGGGGCCTTCTAGAATTCTCTTAAAGAAAGATATTGTGCAGAAGCATTGAGAACAGACAAGTTTTCTCAAACACTGTGCCTGAGAAGAATGGGTAAAGGAGAAAATTTCATGTTGCAATAATTTTGCAGTAATTTAAATACAAAATATGTCCCAGCCAGTGTATGTGAAATCATTCCAGAGAAGAGATCCACTCCCCTGGAACAGGACATCCCCACCAATCCTGCTCATGATCTTTGGAGTTGTTCTGTTGGGAGGAAAGAGGGAAATGTGGTCATTTTTCCTTCGATTTGCATTGACTTGTTTGCATTCCTCATGTGGCCAAACACTGAAATAAAGCTAATCGTTATTTTTTCCCTTCTGTATGGAAAAGGATAATTTCTCCCTTTAACAAGCAAAGTTACACCCTTGGGGAGCTGGGATGTGCTCATAAAACTGGAGCTCCAGGGATGGCTTCCCAACTTGAGGCCCCAACATGGAACCACCTACCTACTAGGCGAGGGGCTGGTTCCCATGAAGTAAGGAGAGCTATCCCCTCTGCCCCTCCCCACAAGTTCCTGTGATGTCTTCCCCTCCCACAGACCTCCAGGGGTTTATTTGTTT